GGCCCATCTGAATACTTAAGCCCAAGGAGAGCCTAACTCAGATCCCGCAAACTCCATCTTATACCAGGGAAGAGGTCAATATTTTGGCAATAAGGAGCATGATACGAGGCTACCAGTAAAATAACACCCGCAAAAATCACCGCATTTGGGCTCATTAAATTTCGCTGGCACCAACTTTTTCATTCGCCATCATCATGTCCATGAGTTTGTTTGGGGGCCCAGTGGATTTAGCACTTACGAGACCCCTCACCTTCCGCGGACAGGGAGCCCCGTAAGAAGAACACTAGGGGACAACATTGCCTTTCCCGGTCAGGGGATGAAGAGGATTTCTGTAACAACCCGCTTCCCCGGATGCTTGATGACTACTCTCCCGGAGACACGGTGGCCAGAGCTCACATGTCGGACACGAAGGCCGCAGAGAGATGCACCATGCATCGGTCCTATCGCTGACGCGCAAGGCCCTCAGACAGGAGCAGCTAATCCCTGATCCACGCAGGATGGCTAAGTGAAGCCCCCCCCCCAAAAAAAATTCTCACCGACACAGGGGGTCCAATAATTGGCAGATGACTCTAGTTCGGTTTATCGGGCTTTTGACCGAAATGGGGTGTACGTCCAGGGTCATGTTCGTTATTGGGCCCGTGTTTTACGCAGGGCCCTTTCACTCTGTCTCATTATGAATCCTTGCATTAACATTAATCCTATCTCTTTCATTATCAGCGGGCCCGGTCAACTTAAGAGCCCCCTTGACATTCGCGGTCATGCTCCTTTACCTGTCCAGAAAACGGAACCATGGCCGACTCGGGGCTCTTGCCGCCGTAGGGTCCCCCGTTAGGCATACTGTGGCCTATGACCAACAGTGCGGTCCACCATTATCTCAGGGACCCGACTAATGCAAAGGGTCTTCTGATTGACAATCGCGGACCCAGGGTGGTCCCGACTTTGGAAATGGGCCATACGCCGCTACGGGGCAAACTGTTGAGAATGCGCGGTCGCGCATCGACTGGTTGGCCCTCATTGCCCCCCAGGGGCCCCCAATCGGCGCAAGAGGCCCTCTGATGGGCATTTGTGGGCCTCGGTTCCATGAGGCATCCTCTGGCCAAATCTTCGGGCCTCCTAGTCGGACCCTCAATCGTCGGTCCCGAAGGGCCCTAAGGGACCGCGTGGACCAAATAGAATACACGTATGCCCCGGTGCGCCAGGCCTGTGCCCCGCCTTCAGCTTATGATGAGGGCGTCTCAGATCTGAAAAGAGCCCATTTCCAGATAAGAAACGCCCATTGACGTTTAGGAATGGAACTGACCCATCTCCGATACAAAAAGGCCCAGCGTATGCTCAGAAAGAACCCGTTTTCGGTTCGGGCGGGGTTCATGGTATGTTCGGAAAGGGCTCACTCAGGTCTGGAAAGAGACATAATGGCCTCAAAAGAGCCCTTTTTACTCAGGTGACCAGCCATTTTAGACCGAGAAAGTGACCATCTCATGTGCAGAAAAGGCATCTCTCATCTTCGAGGCCCGGGACGGGCCTACGTTTGGTTAAACTCATCAATGGCCTACGTTATGTTTGAGGAGTGCCATTTCTTCACGCCCAGAAAAGGCACAGGTTACCTACGGAAAGAGAGCGACCGACCATCCGATTGTAAACTTCCAGCTAAATAGCAGAACTTTGTGGCAGAGGTTTAATGTGCCGTAGTGTCCGGTTCGGTCCACCCCGCTGAGCTTTGGTAGCCATTGACCTCGGGCGCAGACCCGCCCGCCAGGAGCAACTAGTGACCACCGAAACCACTCGAGCCTTTAATCCAGCCACCCTGGCGCAGCTGATTTGAGGCAGGTACCGCAACTCCTTAGGATACGATGGCGGCCAGGCGCTGATTTTAAGACTGAACAAACGGCCTTAATGAAATATTGGGGCCCGTGGGATTGGAAGGCCATTCGTTAAGTCTTTGACGACCCCCCCCCCCCCCCCACCTCCCATTCAAAATTCGGATTCGCCTCTCTTGTTCCCACTTCTCGTAACGGTATTTATATTGCGCATGCTTAAGACGCGCTCGGGTGGGAGTCAAATTGACCCCCTCCAAGGTTTTTCCAAGGTTAGTTAGCTGGAAGGAAGGAAGGAAGGTTTTCCAAGGAAGGTTAGCTGTAGACAATTAAATAGCGGATCTTGTGATAAACAAAATTAGATGTAACTTGAAATGTCGCTGACCTATGGCAGGTCAAGTTTAGGCCATGGTTTCAGCTAATGCAATTTCTAGGGAATTGTTCAGTCTGATACAGCGACGGGGTATTTGACGAAGCCATACATCTCTGAGATGCTTTCTTAGGCAACAGCAATATTGAATGAGCAAGTTACGCTGACTTAAGGTCAGTTATGACGGTCATACCAAGGTCAAAACCAACCTGATTTATTACTCTATATGATTCATTACTCCTGATTTATTACTATTTGTGGCTTATCTAATTGCAAAACTCAGAGCAGTCTTATAGGATTTTGGTCAACACGACCTTGAAAACGTCAAACAAGGCCACTGATCTCAAATGGGCTTGTGGCCTTTCGCTTCGAGACAGTTGCCTAGGTTCGGGGGCACCTTGGAGACCAGCCTGGAATTTTACCTTGTTTGGCCTTATTTGACCTGAAGGTCATGACCTAGCAACCTCAAACTTTAACACGAGTGAATTCACGTAAAGGTCCATACACCTTCTAAATTTGGTGTTCCCGAGATCTCAACGGGGGCAAATTGCACCCTACCAGAGCGAAGGGTATGTAGCCGGCCACACGGGCGCGTGTGCACTGTGGATGCTCAACAAATCATTTCTCGCAGTATTGAGCAATTAAAATGTTGACGCTGATCGTCTGCAAAGGTGACTCGCGTTACCAAACAGCCAAACAACCACTGATGAAATGTATAGCCAACGCAAACAACCACTGCCACGCCAGGGCTCAACACGCCCTGCAATCATTCAACGAGTCGTGTGCAATGTACAGACAGGTGCTCCTGCGACAAGAGTACATCTGCAAAGATGTTCATTCATGGCACGACGATGAATACGGGCGCGGCAGTTCCGAAATTTTCTGGCTGGCCATTGCACTAACGTGAAAGCGCTGATGCGCAGCGCCATTAATCGCCTTAGTTTATCAAGGCTCCCTGCTGGCTTAAACACGTTGCGGTTAGCAGAACTGCAAGGCAAAAGCGCTCGTTTGGTATAAAAGATGTGGTCGGCCCAGAGGCGTCACACACCAGCCATGAAGCTCCTCGTGCTCGCCGGTCTGCTCCTATTGGCCGTCTCCGCGACCGCCTCGCCCAGGCGTTTCCCCGAATGTTATGGCAACTACCCGCGTCGCTGCACCGCGCAGTACCCGCCGCCTCACGAGTGCCTCAGCGACGAAGACTGTTTCAAAGTGTACAAGAGCACCTGCTGCAAGGGCCCGTGCCACTACGAGTGTCGCTGATGTGGACTCCCCGGACATTCCAAGATGCCCAGAAGTTCTAAAGAAGTTAACAGACGACGCTGTGACGCTGCTTGGGGTGGCTACCCTCTCGACGTTGCGAGATCGTCATGACGAAGGTACCAGCGAGGCCTACGGCTTGTTCGCCGTCAAGTGCGGCTACATAAGCAATGCCTCCATATTGAAAAGTGGCGAGCGCAAGCTCACGTGATACAGTTTCGTTCTTCGTCACTTGGCTCTAACTTCGTTTTGAAAATAAATGCTTCTGTCTAACCCGATGTCTGCTTTTCACCCATGACTGTTCAAGGTGCTCATATCAGTCAGCAAAGAAAATGATTCCTGACCGACCAAGTGCGGCATGTTTTCTTTCGCGGTCGTGACGTCACTCTATCGCCAGTGCGGTCGTGAAGTCGCTGCGTCGCCAGCACGTTTGTTACGTTACTGCGCTGTCAGCGCAGTCGTGGCGTCACGGTGTCCCCAGCGTGGTCATGACGTCACTGTGTCGCCGCCGCGGTCGTGACGTCACAACATCCCAGCATGGTCATGACGTCACTGTGTTGCCGGCGCGGTCGGCGACAGTGCAGCTGAGGCGATCATCACAGCGCTCAACTTCACAACAGAGTCGCAGCTGGGCTGATTTCACAATGTTCCTAATCCGCTTCAAACGGCGGCCGCTCCGTGCTCACGTTCGACGCCGTGACTCCATCAGCGACGCCGCGCGCCCGGCTCGGGACCGCGCCGCCTGCCCCGCCGTCCGAGCAGTCTCTACGCGGGCCCGTAGTCCCCGCGCAATCCGCTGTCTGTCCTCGGTTCCATTTAAGCTACTCCTCGCTCGACCGCCGACTACTTAACACTGCGTTTATTTTTTATTTATTTTATTGGCATATGCCGTACGCACCGCGGAGGTCGGCGTCCCCAGCGGCGAAGGGGTGGCCGGCCGTTCCCGAGGCCCTGTGAGGCTCGCCGGCCACCCCTAACCTGCCTTGACGAGCTTCCGCGAATACGGGACGCACACTAGTATTTGAAGCCAAATAGCACACGCAGTCGCGCATGCGCACACACACGCCCGTGCCGGTACATTATCTACAGCGTGCCGAGCGGGCCGGGCCTGCCACAAGGGTGGGGCCGAGAATGGATAGAAGCTACGACCGCCAAGCGTTGCGTACGGGCGGGCGGGTCCGCCAAGGCCGACGCCGCCGCCCAGCCATCAAGGGGCAATTTGCTGGCCAGGCGAAGGGTAGCCGGTCCCTAGCGCGCGTGACGGGCGTCGCGCCCCGCCCCACAGCAGTAGCCGTTTCTTATAAACAGAAGGCAATACGGCGTGAGTGTAGCAAACAGCACAAGTCCATCCTCTCCGTGGACACATCTCGGTTCGCCGGCGGCAGTCTGTCCAGCGCGCACCAGTGCTGATGGCAAGCCGCCGCCCGCCCGGCGCCCCCATCGGCGCCGGCCAGGGCGCTCGGCTGCCGCTCAGTCCTCGGTCTCCACCAGCTGGCGACTCTCGGTGCCGTCAGCCTCGGTGGTGATGCGCTCCGTCACCGTATGCGTCACCGGTCGGCTCTCGTCATCGAACGTCGTCATCGTGCGGGTCTCGGTGCGGACCATTCTGCCGGAAGGGATGATGATGATGATGATGATTTGGAGGTTTAGAGCGCTTCGACTGCTGTAGGTCATGCAGAGGCCAGGCCGGCGTCAGCTGCGGCCCCGGCACGGACACAGGTGGCGCAGATAGACAAGCGCAAGGCCACTCGGGCACGGACACAGACAGACAGGCGCACGGCCACTCGGGCACGGACACGGACAGACAGCCGCATGGCCACTCGGACACGGACACGGACAGACAGCCGCATGGCCACTCGGACACGGACACGGCCAAACAGGCGCACGGCCACTCGGGCACGGACACAGGTGGTGTGGACAGACGTGAACAGGACTCCCCAGACACGGGCACGGACAGACAGGCCCGAGGCGCATATGCAACAACGACTATAACTGATAACAAGCACAAGGCTGCAAGTGCTCGCTTCTTTTTTACATTTAAAGCCAATTGAGCGTTCTCTTGATTGACTTCCATGAAGTGCGATTTTGAACATCATTTAAAATGAAAATATCGTTTGTTTTCTACATGGCCATTCCGGAGCCCTCTATTCGACGCAGCGACAACGGCCGGTCGGTCAGACCCAGAGCTTCCAGCGGAGCCGCTGGAAGCTCTGGTTCCGGCCGCAGCAGAGGCGGCTGCTGGGTGTGATCCGCGGGCGTCTGACTCTGGATCGCAGGTCACGTCACCCCCGACACCGTGAACGCTGCCATCGAGCCGTGGGGTGTAATATGGACGTAGACACGTTAAATGGCTACCTATCAAGAGATCTCGGTCATATCAATCTGTCTGATTTTCCGCGGGACTCTTTCTGTATGGTAACGAAACGGGTCACATCGACCGCTCCCCCATTATCATAAAAATGGCGAAAAAGGCGATATTTAGCAGTTGCGGTGCGATGGGGTACCAAAGCACTTAACTGCCTTGAAAATGTCGTTACATACACATATCTAGGCTACCTTGAAAAACAAATGATGACACATCTAAGTGTTAACAACGGTATGATGAGACAGCCAATGTCAGTTGGGCCCTATTGGCGCTGATTCCATGGTTTTTACATCCAATGGACGCAGCACTTAATCTAATACTTTCAATAGCCGATCAGCCAATCGCACGATCCAAATCCTATGGACGGACAAAAGCTCTCCACGTGCTGGAAGTCCCTGTGACCGGTTGGCGACTGTCGGGCCACTGGCTCTGAAGCTGTCGATAAGTTGAAGCATAGCCATGTTGGCCTAGCGTTTATTGGACACCAAACAGCTCAAAGAAACTGCATCTGACCACCTGCATTCAACGTCCAGAAACTCCGACCAACAAAATGGAATACAGCAGTCAGCGGTATGCTCGGTGCTGCCACCTGCCGACCCGCCGGGCCAGCCGGCCCACATAGCCAGCCGCTCGCTGACCGGCACCTCTGCGCCCCGGAATGGGTGCGAAACCCTCAATCCCCAACGGGCGACCAATCAGCGGGACCCCGTAATTACCACGGGAGCGCCAAACGCGACCATCGCTCTATCAACCAGTGAAAGGTGAATAGAAGGCCCACTCTGTGCCCGTAGAGCTCAAAGTTCCGACAGGGAACACACCAATACCCCCAGTGGCCGCGACATCGGATGGGTGAACACAATATTGCCCGATGAAGAAAACAGCCACCTTTTAGGCTCAGCACCAGCTGGTCATTTCTTGGACACCATGTCGACACGCACAACGGTGCCAGTTTGCACACATCCTACACCATTGCCGTTTCTCCGACTTGGCTTTGTTTTCTGCAAGGTGATTCCGTAGCCCTCTATTCGGCGCAGCGACGGCGGCCGGTCGGTCAGACCCAGAGCTTCCAGCGGAGCTGCTGGAAGCTCTGGTGCCGACCACAGTGGTGGTGGCTGCTGGGTGTGATCCGCGGGCCTCTGCCTCGGGATCGCAGGTTACGTCATCCTCGCCACCGCGAGCGCTGCCATCGAGCGATGTGATGACGCTTATGACCGATGTTTTGCACGGCCTCTCTGTTGCGGTGTGTCCCCGCTCGCCTTCTGGTACCCTGTTGTCCTCCTGTTCGTGCGCTGGTGGTTTCGAGCCGACAGCCTTGTGGAAGTGGAGTGGTGATTCAGCGCCGTAGACAACGCCGAGCGAACGGTATAGATGGCGCTGCGACAGTGCACCCGCGGCGCCACCTGTCGCATTGGTTTCCTACGTTGCGGTGATAAGAGACCAACTATGTTACAAGATGCCACCTGTAGTCTGGCCCACCAGCCACGCATCCAGCCCGTAAAAGCCCGCTGTGCTAGTGCTCACCCAGAAGTCACACGCCTAAGTATAAAGTCAAGGGCACTCTAGTTTGCCATTTTTACTTAGTGTTAGACATTCTCCTTAGTGTTACGTACTTTGTATTCACTCACTTCTTTTGTGCCTGTTGTGTCGGGACTGTACGGAGCACCGTGACCGTACGGAGGCCGTACCGTGTTTCGCGATACGACGCCGGAGTGTGCGGATGTGCTCGGTGACGCGGCGTGCTGCAGGGGATCATGGCCGCGCTAGCCAATGGGCGGCCGCCACCTCACAGGTCATCAACGGGTTAGGGTGCGCTGGCTGGGCCGGGTTGAGTCAGGTGTGGACCGGGCACAGAGGTGAGGAGAAATAGGAATGTGTTTTATATAACACATAATGCATAGCACAATATAATGTGTTTTCGCTACTAATAGTTGCGCTAAAATACGACGCGATATGAAAGGCTACTGCGTTTGGCTGGGGCATTAGTGGACATGAAGCTGAAGCGGGACGAGGCAATACTACAGGACCAAAGTACTTCTTTGACACTGCAGTGAGACTTAATGGCTTCAAACGTGGATTTAGAGGATGAAACTTAAAATGGCGGAAATATTCCAGACTTTTCCTTGTTGCCCACTGCAGGTAACCCACAGGCTAGGTATTCTAAACTTTTAAACTTGTTATGTCCCTTAAAGTCTTGCGATTTTGTTTCCGTTATTTGACTAATATTTTGATCACGTGCCTATGTGTTGCAATTTCGGAGAAATATCTGGGAGTAACGCATGTACCGTACAGTTCAGTGCACTTGTCATGCACACTATATGCACGCACGCACACACACATGAATACACACACACACACTCAGACACGCACGCATTCGCAAACAAGGAAGCAACGATTGGGTTTTCAGTCGGTCATCAGTAAGATTTTTTCGTCTTTTTTGGACAAGGAAAACTGGAATATTTGTAATTGCAATGCATTATTACATACTAAAACTGTATAAGCAATTGAGCAAAGCTAGATAACTGTTCAAGTGCATCCAGGCTGCTTTACCGCGCACGTGTATGTTTTATACGCATGTCGCATCACTCACAATATCCAGAAAGGTCAAACAGTGTGGCGTGGCACATGAATGACACGTTTTTGGCATCATTGCGTGAAGTTTTTTTGACACTTTAGGAACGGTTTTTAAGAGCGTGGGGCAAAGAGCAAATTCAATGCAATGCAAATATTAGATAAACAAGGAAACCTGTGGACACCTTATAACCCGGTCAAGAAATCGGTCATCTTTTTGAATCAGCATCAGCTGGTCATTTCTTGGACACAACGTCTACATGTGCACCGGTATCGGTTTAGACACGTCAGATATCACTGGCGATTCTCCGACGTGTATTTGTATTCTAAAAGACATCTCCAGAGCCATCGGTGCGGCGCAGCGACGGCGACCGGCCGGGCCGGGAATGATTCACGGAAATAGCCAGGGCAAAATGGTTAGGCTGTTTGTGCAACCAAAACTGACTGTCATGCACGGGCAGCGCTACGGGTTTTAAAGCAGGGAGGGAGGAGGGGGAGCAGACTTTCCAGAGGCTTCTTGGGCAAAATGGGGCCTACTTACAGGGGGAAGCGCGCCGTGGGCATGCGTCTTAGCAAGCTGCTACACATATCATATCCAATTAAATGGCTGACGACAGTAAATCAATCCAGAACAAGGGCCTTCTAATGATCCAGGAAAGGGTCTCGCTAGCCTAAAACCTGGCCTTGAGATCCAGAAAAAGGCCTCCCGATGCAAGACAGGGCCTCTTAATCCTGAACAGGACGCATACCATTCAAGAAGGGGCCGTCAAATCTAGCCGATGGGCCTCGGTATGTTGACGCTGATCCGGAACTGCGGCCATCTGATGCATGGAAAGGGCTTCCTTGCTCAGAAATGAGGCCTCCTGAATATGGAGGGTGCATCCTAATCCAGAACAGGGGCCTCATAGTTTGTAACGAGGGCCGCCAGACCCAGCAAATGGGCCTCCTTGACAAAACGTTGGGTCGCCTGATCCAGAACATTGGCTACCATATTCATAATGGTGAACTCACGATCTAAAAAACGGTTCTCTTGATGCAGCAGTAGGTCTTCTGAGATCGATTTCCTCTAACTCTTGCTAGCTCCCTAACTCAGCCATGCGGCCTTAACGATCTGAATTTTGGCTCATAACGTGTATGTCTCCTCTCCCCCACCCCCCTTGCTGTGCTGCCACTGGTGTCTTAAGATGCATACTGATTTTGCAGCACGTGGTCATCCCTGGCCTTACGCTTTTATAACTAGCTCCTGCTACGAACGTAGTAGAAGGGATAGAAACGTGACTGATGCAGGAGAAAGAAGACAAGATGTTTGCGATTTTCACCTATCACAAGACTTACCTTTTTTGTTATAAGAAAGGAAGGCCTTCTACTTTTGCTATTCTTCCACTTTTCTGGCATATCATTTTGGAGTTCTTGTATTACTCTGCCGTCACTCGGCATGCCAGTAGAGTCTATGTTAATGTGTCACGCCAAGGTGTTTTATGTTGCTGGATATCGCTAGATATTGCTAGATATCGCTAGATATCGCTAGATATCGTGATCCATCAAGCATGTGGATATATCATGCTTGTAGGCATAGGCATAGGAACGTTTCAAAAAGTGGGGGAGGGGCAAGCTCAGTGTGTACTTAAGGAACTTTTTCTGGAAAGCGAGCCCCATGACCGGGGGAAGGAGTT